AATTTTAACCCCCCAAAAAACCCCCCCCCCCCCCTCCTCCGATGGGAGCCGCCTATGGCCTTCTCTCTTCTGTCGGCATTATGAGTTCTGCTAGCACACGACTTCCAATATGCCGACCTACCTTGAGCTCTCACACCCTTTCTTCATAACCCATGAGTGTTGTATATATGCATGTATCCCGCCCCTTCCGTCTCCCCACCTCCTATCCCTATCGCCATTCCCGGCTCTCCACCTTCCTTTTTTTTAATTTTTATTTTTTGTTGGCGAAGGGGAAATGCCTTCACGCATATCGCCAATCTGGCGTTGCTCGGCAGAGTTAAGTGGCCTCAGGCCTTAGCGAATACCCATTAAAATCTCCCCGAGTATCTTATTCTGGCGGTTAGAGGGGATGCCCAGGTATCATTAGCAGCACTGCCTGAATATCTCCCCGCTTTCACCTTTCTAAAAATATCAGAAATTAGAAACGCGAACATTAATCAATTATTGGATAACAATCGTAATCTTCATATTGTAAATAACCTCATTAATAGCATTAATCGAACGAGATTATGCATATTTGTGGTTAACGCCTTATACAAGTGGTGCTCATTATATTCACATGATATTTAAATTCACGATTACTGTAACAATAATCAGAATATGGATAAGGTTTATTACAATAATAAGTTATTATAGATGTAAATGTGTATATAAAAATACGTTTTACTTTTAATATTTTCTTTTTTTTCTTCCAGGACTATAACAAATCCAGAATACATTCCTTTAGAGTCAAAGAATTAATGTTATGAATTTAATTTTCTAATTTTACATAGAGACGCTCTAGGAAGAGATAGATATACGAATAGGCTGTTTGAGGATCTCTAATGTTACAGAACTACCAGAGCTACTGCTATCAATTTTGATTACTAGGATGTTTCGTTTTTGCGAGACTCTGCCGGAACGTCGATCTGATATCGGCAATATCTGATATCTTGATTGAAAAGTGAGAACATATTTGCTTTATTTATCTTCACATATTATTATTTCGTCTTATTTATCTTCACATACTATTTTTCACTATTGTCAGTCTCTGTATTATGTCATTATCATATTTACAATTATTGAACTGTGAAATATTGATATATGTAGTGTCACTATTTATAATTGATTAATTATCACAATATAAAATACAAGAGATATATTCATCTCTAGACAATTACAAAACCTGAAGCATTTAATATAAAAGTGTAAAAACTATGAGAAACCAACGGACAAGCATACAAATAGAACAAGAAAAAATTATGGAAAATAAAATTAATGTGTCCATAATATGAGAAATTATATACAATATTTAAATTAAACACACTCTCCATTAGATAAATGTACATATACTTCTCACGATTATAAAAAGAAATAATTATTATTCTTTTTTCTAATCGCATGTTGATTCGTTTTCCATGATATCCGAAAACAATGTAGTACGCAACTGAAAAGAAAAAAAATAATATATATACATTAGCTAACATTAATATATTGTGTGTGCAGAGCAACTTACGTTTTCTTTATCTTTATTTTGACACTGCTCTGGATTACAGTTACAATTGTTGCAAGTAACGTTGTTTTTGCGGCACGTACATACCCGTGTGGAACATTTTGTTTTACATGCACACTTTATGTCATTGGACTCTATTTTAAAAGTCAATCGTTGAACTGAGAGCTTGGATTTATTCTAAACAAATAAAACATATACCGTTTAAAGATTTAATAATCTCTTGCATGATTATATAATCTTTGTTTCTTGACGATAAAAAGAGTTTTCAAAATATCATGAGATATTTATAATAGCAATCGTAATTAAAAATGTTGCATTATTACCTGTAACTTTTGTATGCGATTATAAAGCGGCGTGCTCCTCCAATCGGGATCTTTGTTAACATCGTCTTCTATCGTTAAACTATCATCGATTTCTATTGGTACTGTTCTTTCTTTCTTGGACCATGATCTCTTGTATATATATATATATATATATATATATATCTATATATACCTACTTTTAATTCATTATACTTATAACTTTGTTGCTTTCTGTCTTGTGCAATTATATGAAATAATGTTTTAAATCCCACCTTGGCATCCGCTATTGTATGTATCATATTCCACCTTATTTACAATTATTGAACTGTGAAATATTGATATATGTAGTGTCACTATTTATAATTGATTAATTATCACAATATAAAATACAAGAGATATATTCATCTCTAGACAATTACAAAACCTGAAGCATTTAATATAAAAGTGTAAAAACTATGAGAAACCAACGGACAAGCATACAAATAGAACAAGAAAAAATTATGGAAAATAAAATTAATGTGTCCATAATATGAGAAATTATATACAATATTTAAATTAAACACACTCTCCATTAGATAAATGTACATATACTTCTCACGATTATAAAAAGAAATAATTATTATTCTTTTTTCTAATCGCATGTTGATTCGTTTTCCATGATATCCGAAAACAATGTAGTACGCAACTGAAAAGAAAAAAAATAATATATATACATTAGCTAACATTAATATATTGTGTGTGCAGAGCAACTTACGTTTTCTTTATCTTTATTTTGACACTGCTCTGGATTACAGTTACAATTGTTGCAAGTAACGTTGTTTTTGCGGCACGTACATACCCGTGTGGAACATTTTGTTTTACATGCACACTTTATGTCATTGGACTCTATTTTAAAAGTCAATCGTTGAACTGAGAGCTTGGATTTATTCTAAACAAATAAAACATATACCGTTTAAAGATTTAATAATCTCTTGCATGATTATATAATCTTTGTTTCTTGACGATAAAAAGAGTTTTCAAAATATCATGAGATATTTATAATAGCAATCGTAATTAAAAATGTTGCATTATTACCTGTAACTTTTGTATGCGATTATAAAGCGGCGTGCTCCTCCAATCGGGATCTTTGTTAACATCGTCTTCTATCGTTAAACTATCATCGATTTCTATTGGTACTGTTCTTTCTTTCTTGGACCATGATCTCTTGTTTTCATTGCTAGAATTATTCTCGGTCAAAATCTAAAACACATATTAACAATAAAAATAATCTTATCTCTCGATAAAATACAAAATATGTTTTGAAAATAATTTTTTTGTTTAATTACCTGTTTTGTCGAACCTTCGACATCACTGGAAGACGCGTCAGATGTACTTTGTGAAGAGATTTTGCTTTCTTCTTCCAGTTTCTTATACTTTTCTAATCGTGTTTCCAAATTCTGATATTTTTCCTAAAACATCAATTATATATTTCAGTAGAATATATCATTCATATAAAATTATATAATGATATA